TGGAGCTGCTCCCTGAAGCATTCCCCGTGGTGCCTCTCCCTCAGCATACCAGCAGGAGGGCTGCCTGCAGTAACCCACATCCGCTCCTCTCCGGTGGAACGAGCACGCATCCCCCAGGAGCTCTGCAAGGCCAGCAAAGCTCTTGGCAGCGCAGTACCTGCGGGTGCTGCGCTGTCACACAGCCAAGAAACAGTTTGTCACGAGGCAACCCCCAACCCCCACATGCAATTTTTGTTCAGGGAATAAATCTGCAGGCATAGCATGCTAAGACTTCTGTTTCTTGGTGGCAAATTCCTTCCCACCTACCACTCCCCCACTCTCTTCTCACAGAAAAAGGTTCCACACTGGACCTCCTCAACACCCTCCCCTTCATATAAATTTACCCAAAAGGATCATAGGAGGTGCCTTTTATTAGCCAAGCAGCATGGAAAATGACATTGTTTTCCAAGAAGAAGTTTTATGTGCCTTTCATAAGCCAGAAAGGATTTATGTAGTTTCATCCAGTTTCTCGTAATGCTGCAGTAACAGGATTACATGGGAAAAAAAAGGCCCAGGAGACAGACAACCTCTGAGATAAACTAGAAAGTGAGCATTCAGATCTATTAAATAAAAGGTATTCAGGGAAGATTGGACTCAGATTCAGCAGGATGAGAAGTCATAAATATTGAAAGGAACCAGGAAAGAAGCCACCTACAAACCTGGATTAAAGCTGCACCAGAAAGATAAGTGACCTAATAACAAACCCCCCCCCTCAGACCAAGTGACCTAATAACAGAAAAAAAAACCTCAGACCAACAATAGTAATGCAGAACTTTGGATCCCTGGGATATCAATTACTTACTGTCCTACCTGCTTCCAAAAAGAGGCTCTATATGCTCAAAAGAGGAGTAAGTAGGTCTAGGTATTCTTCTCTGCACTCTCAAATGTAAGAAGTTTACGTTTCAGGCTGCTGGAGCTTGGTTTTCTTTGGAGGGAGAAGAGCAACTAGAAAAGAAATGGACATTTTTCTCCTGTGTCCACACTAAATATAGCCACCCAACACGCACATTAGTAAAAGCAGACAATACAAGACCAACAGAACCCAAAGAGAATTTCACCAAGCTAAATCTGATAATGTTTTTAGGAAAGAAAAATCTTTCAAGGTCCAGTTGGCAATGATTTTAGTAAGAAATATAGGAATTCTCTCAAGGCTGCCATGTGATTCAGAAAACAAGAGCTCAGAACTGCTGCACACAGTTATTGTGATTTCCTTGCAACAGGTTCTTAAGCTCTGATCTGCAGAATAAAATAACAGTGGAGACAGATATAAATAAGATCAAAACATATGACTCAAAGTCCCCAGATAAAGAGGACTCCAATTGAGAAACTGCCGTCCTCCAAAGCCACCCAGGCCACCAGGAACACAGATGTACAAAGGCTTGCAGAAAGTGGGCCAATCTCGAAATATTAGTATTACAGCTTTAGGTTTTTCAAGCTGAATTTCTGTAGCTCCAGCAGGCAGGAAGACAGAAATAGAATGCTTTGGATTGAGGATCACACCTGCAGATATCTGCCTGTGAAAAACACCAAGAGCAAGTGCCAGAGAGCATTTGAGCAGAGACCTAGGAAAACTGTCAAAAAGGAATAGAAAAAAAACAAAACAACTGCACACACTTGTAAATAAGAAAAAAAGAGATCACTGGAGACAATTTTCTAGCTTCTTTCCAAAGATGACTTTGTGGCTCTTTCGCTCCCTGCTACAGATTAGGAGCCAGGACACAAATCAATCCTGGAACAAGTAACTCTTTGCTTCCCTTTACAGCCATGTCCAACATCAGATTAACTGGGAGTAAACTTCTTTCAAATGAGATACCTCTGCACTGAGCAAAGTCAGGCAGGTAACTTCTTAAGCCAGTGTAAAGAGCACCTTACACTTCCTTGCACTAAATTTGAATGATTGAATTCAAGTAAGTTAAGCACTTGGTCTACTCAACTTGCAGGCAAGTGGATTTGACAGCACTGATAGAGATTTAATGTCTGTTATTAGAATAGAAAGTTGCACCTATTTCCAAAGCTGTTTATTTATTTGCAAGTAACCCATGCATTTTAGAAGAGAAGCTTGTTTGTAGACTGCTTCAGAAATCATGTTTATTCACACTTAGAGATTAGAGCAGCAAGGGAGTGAGAAAGTGCTGCAGCTCTCAAAATTAAGTTTCTGGCTTGGCAGCATAGAAGTGAAACAGATACCTATTTTGCAATTGTGGTCAAAGAACTTTAATAACAGGCCCACCACAAATCCTCCAGCTGTTCAGCCTATGCACCAAAACAAGTACAGAACTACCCATCTCCTCTTCCACACCAGCATAACAATATATGTCCTGCCATGCTCGGCTTTTAATCTTCTCCTTGTAAACCTCCATTCCGTATTTAGGTTAAAAATGTTTTGCTTCTGCCCAAAAAAGTGAGTTTCAAAATCCCCACCTAGCCAGCTAACTACAAAACTTCTTAAAAAAAAAAAAAAAAAGTCATCCTCTTCCCTTAAACCAATTCAACTAAACAGCACTATCACAAGAGCTGCCCAAAAAAGACATACACGTAAGTTTTGAAGCAGGCCAGCTGCGGTGGGAGGTCAATGTGGTGGGAAGGGAATGACTGAAAACTGTAACCTTATTTAATTTCAACACCCTACCGGAGAGTAACGTGCAATTTGATTCTCACCCTTAATTTGTACATTCTCATGGGAATTTGGCAAGGTTGCTCTGAAGAAGAAAGTTGGAAGAGCTCTTGCAAAAGACACTGTGCTATGCCAGATCAAGAGAACTATCAGTTATTTACATTCATTTCAAAGGACACAAAGGAAGCCATTTATTTCCACTATCTCTGTACTTCTTAAAGAGAAACCGGTTAGGACAGAGCTGGTCCTAACACAGGGCTTGCCCATACAGACCAACCGGCATAGCGATTCTGGAGTAAACACTCAAGTATGCTCAAACTAACCCAACTTAATTCACAACTACAGAGACTATTCCAGGGCTCAGCAATATCAGGAGGGAACACACACATTAGAAAGTCACCCTAAACTTGTGCTACTGGGATGTTTCCGAGTGCAGGCAAGAAAAGCTCTCTGCCTACACGGGAAATTGATCTCTGGTCTGCACCTCCCAAGCCACCCAGAATTTTTAAGAAGCCTATTTTAAGCACCAGTTTCAGGAACTGTAAGGAAGCATATTTGGCTTAGCCACACTTGCAGGATTTAAATGCACACCTAATTCTCCCAGCTGGTAAATAAAAGGACTGCTAGGCTAACACATAGCAGTGCACTCCACCCCTTTCAAACAGGGGAAACAAACTGATCAACGTAACATTTGTTTCTTCAGACACACTGATGCAAATAGAACTAGAAAAAAACACAAGTCTCACTACGGGTTAAGAATCCCATCGTGCTATCTGGAGTCTGAACAGCGGGAGCTGGGGGGGAAGAACCACCCTTTGCCTGCACATGCAGCAAAATCCATCCTAACCAGCCAGCAGTTAAGTGACATCACTGAGTTTCCCATGTCCCAGCTGCAGATCCTGCAGTGCAGAAACCACAGCTGAGGGAGGCTCAACCTCACCTCTTCTTCAACAGCTCCAAAACCAAGTAAGATTTCCCCATCGCTACACAGAGGCTGAAAGACAAGGATAACCACTGCTGCACCGGGCAATAAAAAGCAAGAGTATGTTCACTTTCTACCCATGAAGATGAAATAAAGATGAGGCAACCCCCCAAATCCCACAAATTGAGTTAAGCAGGAAAAAGAGATAAATACCCTGGTATCATAGTTTAGAGTGTGGACAAAAACAGTACCCGAAATTTAAGTGGTAATTTAAACTTATTATCTAGAAAGATCACCAAGCTAACTTTTGCAGTTGATAAAAGCTGAACTCAAATATTCCTCCTTAGATCTCCCCTCTCAGGCAAATCATCCCCCAGGGACTGAGCTGCTCCTGGTACTTTGAGCAGATCTCCCCAGGTGTGAACAGTCCAGCGGCACTCCAAATGTCCTCCAGTTCTCCAGCACAAGACTCCACACATCCAAACTTGAAATTTCATTTAACCACTACTTTGAAAGCTCTTTCCTTCACAGACCATACACCATTATTATTTCGCTTGCAAAGAGGAACAGATTTAAAAAGGAAAACAAAAAACCCTTTCCCTTTGTCATAAACAAGAGCTTCTACAAGAATTAAGATACATTTGTCAAACCAAAACCTCCCACAATTAAGATAAGGCCAGAAAGCCTCAGTCCCGTTCCGGTGTAATTAATAAACAAGCTACACCAAAGAGGCAGAAAGGGTCACATCTCTGCTGAGCCTGTGGTTCCGAGGCAGAGGGAAACCTGGGAAAAAAAGCACTGTATCTCTGAAGTGCAGCACCAACAATGCTTTGGAATAAATTTTAAGACCCTGAAACAACTTCTGAGTTACAAGATCAAAGCGTCAATCAAAATAACTGGAACACAAGCAGAGAGGCGAGGTCGGCCGGCTGAGCCTATGAATGGCGCTAAAACGCCTTGTTTATCTCAGCACGTGTGCGCGCACTGAGCCTGGGAGACACCCGAGCAGCCCACCCGCTCCTCCCCGTCAGACCAGCTGAAAAAGCACAGAGAAGACACAGCCAAGTAACGAGAGCGGATTCCCGGCAGCGGTTCTCACTGTAACGGACAGAGGAGTGGAGAAAGCAAGAAAGAAAACAACCTTGCTTGGCACCGTGCCCACACACACATCCCAGTGCAGTGGGGGAAAAGCGGCCGGGGGCACATACCAGCCGTGTATCAGCTTCCTGGCCCAGGGGACCAGCAGATCTGGCAGATGCCAAAATACCGGCCACTCGCTGTCCTGAATGCACCTTCCCACACCCCTCCACGAGCAGGAACCCCTAGAGGCCCCTTTGCAGAGCTCCCTCGCTGCAAAAAGGTAGATGCTGACAGCCACCAAGCAGCAACTCCCCCACGGCGTCCCCGCCACAGGCATGAGCCCACCTTTCTTGAACTCCTCCAGCATGGCATCGAGCTTGGTGTCATTGAACACAAAGTGCAGAGGATGGTTGTAGAAGCGGGTGATGGTCTTGAGTGGCGTGCAGTCATCGGGGTCCACAAAAGCCAGGTCCTTAACAAAGAGCAAGTCCACGATGTTGGAGCGGTCACCCTCAAAAACGGGGATGCGGGTGTAACCGCTCTCCATGATCTCAGACATGGTGTTGAAGTCGAGCACAGCCTCGGCAGCGATCATAAAGCAGTCTCGGAGGGGGGTCATCACATCCTCCACAGTCTTAGTGCGCAGTTCCAGGGCTCCTTGGATAATGTTGAGCTCCTCCTTGACTAGATCGTTATAAGGGTCGGTGACCCGCAGCATCTCCAGCAACTTCTCACGGTTATAGACCGTGCCGATCTCCTGGCCCAGGACACAGTCCAGCAACTTGCTGACGGGGTAGGAGGCCGGGAAGGTCATCATCATGAAAAACTTGGTGAGGAAGATGGTGTTGGCGCCCACGGCCAGGCCGTGCCGAGAACAAATTGCCTGCGGCACGATCTCGCCGAAGATGACGATACCGATGGTGGAGACCACCACGGCCACCAGCCCAGAGCCGGCAATGTCGTCCAGCAGGATGGTAAGCGTGGTATTGACCAGGACATTGCCGAGCAGGAGGGAGCACAGCAGGTAGTTGCCCTGACGCCGCACAGGCTCGATGCGCTTGGCATAGTTCTTTTCTTTGTCCGTGCCACAATTCTGCACGATGCGTAGCTCCATAGGGTCCAGAGCCATCAGGCCCAGGTTGAGACCACTGAACATGCCCGAGAGGCACAGGAGGAGGGAGATGAAGATGACCTGCAGCCAGAAGGGCAGCAGGAACTTCTTCTCCTCACCCACGATCATCTTGGTGTCCTCGCCGTCGTGGTAGATCCAGGTGGTCTCGCCCCAGGGCGGGGGTCCCGCCGGCCCCTCGGCGCCAGCCAGCCCCCCGGGAGCGCCGGGCCCCAGGGCGGCGGCGGCGGGGGCCGAGACGGAGGTGCACAGGTAGTAGGACTTGCTCTTCTCCGTCTTGCGCAGGGGCTTGATCTCGATCTCGATGATGCCCGAGGTGCGGCGGTTGAGCACGATGTGCGGCAGGATGATGATGTCCGAGGTGCGGATGCCGCAGCGCTGCGGGGCTCCGCCGCCGCTCGCCGCCACGCCGCCGGCCCCGCCGGCGCCGCGCCCCGCCGGCCCCGCCGCCGTCCGCCCGCCCCGCCGCCGCTCGTGCTCCGTGAAGGCGATGCGCGACCACGTCTCGTTGTTGATGTTCTGCCCGTAGACCCGCAGCTTCACCCGCGTCCGCTCGCTCACCCGCAGCGCGCCCCCCTCCATGAAGGAGACGTCGTCCGTGTCCTCCAGCCGCAGGCCGATGATCACCGTCTCCTCCGCCGCCGGCGGGGGCACGACGGCGGCGGGCGGCGCGGCGGCGGCGGCGACCGGGGGCCGCCGGCCCAGGCAGCCGCCGAGCAGCAGCAGCAGCAGCAGCACCCGCGCCCCCCGGCCGCCCCCCGCCATGTTCCCACCGGGCAGCGCGGCCATCTTTAGTCAGGGCTCGGCGCCGCCGCGGCCCCGCATCGCCGCGCGGTGCCTGCGGCGTGCCCCGGTTCTCCCGGCGGCGGCGGTGGCGGCGGGCAAGGCGGCGGCGGGCAAGGCGCGGGCTCTGCTGCCCGCGGGACCCGACGGGCGGCGACTGCCGGGCCGGGCCGACCAGCGCCGCCTCTACCCGCGCCCGCCCCGCCCCGGCCCGCCCGCCGCGCGGGGGCGGGGCCTCGCCAGCACGGCCGCCAATCAGCGCCCGCCGCCCCGCCAATCACCGCCCGGCCCCGCCCCCAACGCGCACCGCCCCCTCCCCGGCCCCGGGGGCGCGTGACTCCCGTGTGTACGCCGCGCGCGCGGGGGCGGGGTCGGGCGCGCGGCAGCGGCCAATGGCGGCGGGGCCCGGGGCAGGAGGGGGCGGGGCCCCGCGAGGGGCGCGACCAATGGGGGCGCGGTGCGGCCGGCGCGCGGGGCGCTCGGCGGGAGCGGCCCTGGGAGCGCCAGCGCGGGGGGACGGGGTGAGAACGGGCCACAGGGACCTGCTCCCGCCTCTCTCCCGGCTCCCACCGCTCCCACCGCTCCCCCGCCCGGCTCGCCGCGGCCGCCGCTGCCCACGGACCCGCAGCGCCGCTCGTTCCTCTCGGAGGCCCGGAGCGCCGCCTCCCGTGCCTGCGCCGCGCCGGTCGGCGGTCTCGCAGCGCCCCCTGGCGGACCCGCCTCGCCCCGCAGAGCGGCCCGACCGGGCTCATCCCGGGATCTGCTGGCGCCGGGATCGGCTCTCCTCGACGTGCCCCTTTCCAGTTCGATTCGGTACCGTGCGACGGTCAGAGATCGAGCCGTCTCGCTGTGCCCCGCCGGGCTCCCCGCCTCGGCATCTCCTCGGCTGTGTCGCGCCTGAGAGCGAAATTAACCACTGTGTATTAAATTTAAGCCGCGCTCCTCCCTCACTTCACCTCTGCTCAGCCACCCCGTGCCGAGGTTCGGAGCGAGCGGGGCCGAGGTTTGGAGTTCCCACCGAGGATGTTCGAAGCCCCTCCAGTTGCCGCCCTCCACTCAGTGCATGGATTCACGGAGCGCTGGCAGATCCGATTCAGGAAAATACTTGTAAATTAGTGTGCTCTCGTGTCCCACCACCCTGAGAGCCTGGCTGTTCCCGAGGCCTCGGCTGCTGTGCAGTGATCTCAGATGGGACAAGAGACACCCTATGCCTGGCCATCATCGCTCCATGCCCCTCAGTTATGAGGGATACGGAATGCAGGACACAGTTCAGCATCCCTGAGACACAGCCAGAGTGGAACACTGGGAGCTGTCGGTGGTGGCTGTGACCCTTTAGAAGAGGTAAAACAGCCTCCCCTTCATTTAAGTGCTTGGAAAATGGAAGAGTAAAGAATTGCGCAGGACAACCCAAAACGGCAGGGAGCACAGCAGAGGGGTCTGGGAGCTGTAGCCACAAAAGTTTCCTGGTCACAAATCTCATTCAGCTCATCCTGAGGGAGTTCTGCACCCCCCGAGAGGTGACGGGTGTCCCTGAGCCACAGTGACTTCCTGCTAAACAGACTGAACACGAACTCATGAATCCCTTCCCTTTCACCCCAACTTTGGGCTGCTGCCCTCACAACACTTTCCCTGCCTGCCACGGGGAGGACAACAATGCTGCAGATCTCACACTGGGAGAACAGGATTTGGGGCACCTCTACCATCACCAAAACACCCAGACCAGGGTGTTGGACAGATTGTTTTGGGGTTCCTCATGTGGGATGAGGCTGCAGGACCTCCTCTTTTCATGGCTTGAGGGCTAAAATCGCCAAGGCTGCACAGGCACAAGCAAAGCCAAGCAGACAGGACATCCCCACATCCACAGTCTGGTGAAGATCTCTAATGCTCCAGATCAAAGTCAAGTCCTCTTACCTGCTTCCTCCCAGACATGCTGAGAATTTGGAAAAACAAAAAAAAATAGTGCTGTGCAAATGCAGTGGCATTTAAGCTGTGGCCTTTTTCTGTATGCACAAAGAGGGGGGACTTCACTGGGGGTGCATCTCTTCCCAGGCAAGTTGAAAGGACTCAGCAGGGATTTATGTCTTTTTAATGAAGGACTTTGCAGGTAGGACCCCCACCCCATCTGCTCTTCCATTACCACTGGGAAGGCTGTCTTTGATAGCAGGAGCTAATTGCTGCAAACCTCCAGGGATGAGCTGTTTGGGGATTTTGAGGAAGCCTTTGTAAGTAATAGAGGAAGAGAGCTATACAGGGGGGCATTAAACAGCCTCTTGATGGTATTTTCAGCAGGTCCCATCACTGAGGTCACTCCACACAGTTTCAGAGCTCCTCTTGCCTACTAATCACAGCCACCCCCAAGGCTGCTCTGCAAGGGACCCCTACCTCAAACCAGCTAATACATACCCTGATGATCCAGATAACACCAAAGATTCTTTTTTTAAACTATGGCATTGCTCTAAACCCAACAACTTATGAGTTTTTGTACACCCAATAGGTCAGGCTCATAGTCTAGTCCAAAGCCAAAGGGACAGGCTGGCAAGAAGACTTTCCAGGAAACCATATTCAAGGGCATCACTTATATATTTAATCTCTAAAATATTACTTAATTGCTGCCCTAGCCAGGCCAAGCATTCTAGGCTGATACACCTGTTTCTGGACTTCCCATCACTGTGTGACAGTCAGGTACTACCTGTTCACTCATGCTTTTCATTCTAGGTGTGCTGGAAATGCCTCCTGAACACCTGGACCCTCCTCATCCACTGCTACTGCTACTGCAGAGCATCCTTGGCACCGGGCCACATTTATTTGTTAACCCAAATTTTATCGTTTGCTTTCTGTCTTCCCCAATGCCACACCAAGATGACATTTAAGTAGCATAGAGAGGAAATTTGGCCCCTCCTGGAAAATCAGTGTGAGGGTGGTTGGAAATGGTCCCTCATTTCAAAGCACAGCTGCTCACCCAAGGGCTCTTCAGCCCCCAGCCTTTCCCAAACAGCAGCCCATCACCTCCCACCGCAGCCTCAAAGCCCTCTCTCTTTGCCCCCTACGAGATGGGGCCAGACGCGATTCTGCTTTTCCAGAAGCGCCGCATTTCCCTGCGAAACTCCGCAGATGCAATGCCTGCAGGGGACTCGAGGCTTTCCCACTAGATGGAGTCTGGGGGAAAACAGAAACCTCAGCGGTGCTGCACAGGGAAGGAGAGAGCAATTCCCATCTCCTGGAATGAGCTGCAAAGCATGGGGAGCTGTGCCTGGGACACCCCCGCCCTGAATGCAAACAAGGGGGACATCCCTCTGCACCCTGTGTGCCACGTTGAGTTCTTCACGGAAAAGCAGGGCTGGCCAAGCTCCCAGGAGCTGACCAATCCTTCTTGTCCACCACCCTGGGGAGATGCTCACCCCACGGGCAGCTGGCATGGACTCTGCCTGGAGGATGCTTGCATATGGAGGGTTAGCACGGGGAGATCAAAAGAAGGAAAAGAGCAACTGGGCTGCTTATTGCTGTGCCTTTCACTTCTCAGAAGCATTTAGATCTCAGCTGCGGGCCCCCCAGGACCAAAAACTGGAGCCAGGCTGACACAGGAGGGTAATGCTGCAGGGTCAGGTCCCCTCAGGCTCAGCACACGGCTGTTCAGCACACCAGCACACGGCTGCTGCCAAGCACACATGCAACCTTTCATCTCACGTACAGGGACCCACAACCCCTTTCCCACAGAGACTGTCCCTGCCTGTGTGCCCAAGCCATGTAACCACTGCCAGCCCCACAGCCCCACAGGACAGCTGTCTGTCCTTACTGCACCCAGGCACAACCTGCCCCACCAGCCCTGACATGGAAGCACAGCACCCCACAGGTCCTGTGGGCCCAGCCACGAGCACACAGCCTCTGAGCTCAGACATTTATTTGCTCTCTGGTGGAAGACACCGCTGGGGCCGTGTTCTCCTGCCTCGCTGGCATCTGCTGGTGTGTGGGCACTCAGCAGCACCCTGGGGAACCATAGGTGCCACGAGGACAGCAGGCAGGACCTGGGGCTGCCAACTGCTCCAGCAGCTGGAAGGGATTGCAGATCCTCTCCTGGAGGGCAGAGAAAAACCCAGGGCAGGATCAGGCCAGAGAGAAGCAAAAGGTAACCTGAGAGTGACATTTCCCCCTGGCTCAAAACCTGCCAGCACAGACCCCCCTGAGCTCCTGGCTCACTCTAGCTGCTTTTCTCTGCTACAAGAAGGAAGCCAAGAGCTTCTCTGGGACTTTGGTTCTACTTTTATCTGAGAAATGCCTCCTGCTTGGACGGAGACCCAAGAGCATCTGCCCTCTCCAAGTACAAGGCTGAGTTTCAGGGATACGCAGCTGCAGGGCGTTATCTCCCTTGCCTGTCCTGGCCCATCTACAGGCTGGAGAGACCACCAAGGAGAAGAGAGAGGTTTCCAGCAGATAGAGTGCTTTGTGATGCAAGGTCAGGGTTGGCAGACAGGGACAATCTGCTCTCCCATCAGCAGCTGGGAGAACAATGGGCAGGAAGGAGCTGCAGGGATGGGCCATCACCTCCTAGGGCAGGCCCTACACAGCCATTCCGCTCAGGGGAAGGATGTCTCCCCTTGGGAGACCTCAGAAAAGTCCGGCTGTCAGCCTCACCAGTCCCTACGGACATGCTGGGGGGGAGCAAGGGGTTCTCACACCTGGTGGTTAGAGCAGACCCCCCTTTGGAAGGCTCTGACGTGGGCTGGGGTACAGTTTGTCCACACTTAGCACCAGGCACCAACCTTAATGCCCCATGGGCTCCTGCCTGGCCCAGAAGGACTCACGTGTCTTGGTATCATGCCATAGCCCCTCAGATACCCCAGGGCAACTCTGACGGCATGGAACACCCACGTCCCCATCCCTGAACCCAGCCAACGGAGCCGCCTGCTACCAACCTTCACCCCCTTGCAGCAGTTGCCCTGTGGTGCTGTGGCACTGGCCCCGGCTCGGATCAGGAACTCCTCTGCAAACCTGGAGCTTCGCAAGATCGCAGCCATCTCAGCATCCACGTCCACCACCTCTCCTTCCTGAGGACAGAGGAACAGTCACAGGGCTGGGGT